ATTAATGAATTATTATCAGTAATTAAAGTTGTGTGAATATTGATATTCACATAATCAACGTGAATACGAAGGACGGGCAAAACAGGGGTTGCGGAACATAGGGAGTAATTGAGAACACTCGACGCTAACCACTTTGGGACTAGCAAAATAGACTCATCATAGCTAATAATAAATCGGCAGAACAAATTCTAACGATATCAAAAATGCCGTAATCGGGCTTTGTCACACGCTTAGTATAGTTCTTCTTTAATAATATTTTGCTTTAAAAGATAAAGAGTATTTAACTCTTCTTTTATTATTGCTGGATATATAGGAGGTACTTGATTATACTTTTATTAGTATATCGTTAATAATATAAAAAGTAAAATAACTTACTCGTTAAGATAAAAAGCCAGTTCTTTAAAAGATATACTAGAGATTGCTCGAAAAGAGATATTATTTGATATAATAAAGTTAAGAAGTAAATTCTTGAATTTATTAATATTAAACAACTATTTTTCCGATTCTTTACGCTTATTAGCTCTTTGTCGAGAAAAAGCGTCTAATATAGCCGAAGAGCCTTGAAACGATTCAGCGTCGGAAGTATCTATTATTATTATTAGTTATATATTTGTTTTAATATTATTAGAATAACTTACCATTATTACTTGATAAACCACTAAGAAGTCGACTAATATTATGCCTCTTATGTGAGTATCGGTAATGAGTAATATAATTACTAGTCGATTGATAAACTCGTTGATTATGCCACGTTTTTCTAATAAATAAGTTAAGTTAGTTATTAATTTCTTATTAATATTAATTATATAAAGTTACCAACAGCCTATAAATAAACACTTAATAGTAATTAAGCGGTAAATTTTCGGATCTTCGGGATTTTCCTTAGGAGTATCTCAAGTCTTAGAGAATAGCTTTTCTTTAAGTATAAGAGGAGCTTCGTTTAAAGGCTCTAATTGAAAAGTAGGTTGATTTTCCTCTAAATTAAGCTTAATAGAGGATTTTTGAGACATTTCGTATGAGGAATAATAGTAATAATACTATAAATAATAATAATTGTAATAGTTAAAATATAAGTATTAATTATAAAAGTAGTTAATTTCTAATCAAAGAAAAATCTATCTTTACAATAGAGAATCTTCGTTCATATAAAGAATATTACTTTATAGTTGATTCTACTTATTATAAATCATAACTAGTATTTGTAATGATTACGAGTTATAAAGGTATTAATTTATAATTAAATATGGTTGATTTATAATAAGTAGAAATTTATCGAATTCTTTAGAAAAGTATTTGGAATAGCTGACAAATAAGGAATACTTGCTTATAAATACGTATTCTATTAATAAAACACTCTAATTTTTAATCTTAAAATAGATTTTACTATTACTAGTTTATTTATGTTGATTTAGCAGGGGTGCACATGAGACTTCAAATGTGCGGTTCGCTGGTAAATCAGTATTAAGTCTAAAGAGATACTCTAAGGTGTCAATAAGAGCTCTATATAAGAGGCTCTCATCATGGGCTAGTCCCAAAGTGGCTAGCGTCGAGCGCTCCTATTCACTTCCTGTGTCCTGTAACCCCTATTTCCGCTCGTCTTCTATATTCACGTAGTTTCGTGAATATCATTATTCAAAAGATTTTAATAAAACTTTATTTTATAAATATTATTATTAAAATTATATTATAAGGTATAAAGGTTAATAACCTTATATTACGCCGAGATCACGTTCGAGACTAGGTCCTTAATAAGTACAAGAGCGACCTCGAGATTATAATTAGGCTGTGCCTTTATTATTGAATCAAGGGCCGCAAGTTTAATTATGCGCCAGGCAAATGCTTACAGCGGTTCCGGTGGATTCGTGCTAAGCCAAAGGCATACTATACACGAGACTAAGAGGACAAGAAAGTAGTAAATCTAAAGCATAAAAAGACTAAATACCGCTTCCTTAATATCGTAATAACGCTCTATTATAAAGTGTATTATAGAGGCGAGGAGTAACTATAAGAGTATTTTTAGTGCTTTTTTTTCTTTTTTTCTTTTAAGCAAACTAGAATATATGGGGGAAACGAGTGCCTCCAGGCCAACTGCGTGGCCGCTCTTGCCCTGGCCGAGTTGGGTGGGGTAAGCCAAGGACTAGGGATAGAAGACAGATTAAAGAGGAGAGGGAATCTGGAGCCTATCCGTCGGCCTCCTTATGGCCGTATGGGCAAGGCACAGCTCGTGGCGTCCGCCCATGAGCTCTCGCGGTCGTGGTTTCTTTTCAAAAAAAAAAAAAAAAAAGTATAAAGTGCTACATCTGACGAGATAAGCAAGAGGCACCATCAAGTTCCTCTACCTTGACCAGATAGTCAGGTGAGAGCAGCCTTCATTTCACGGTCTTATAGTGTAGTGGTTAACACGTGGAGCGTACCCCTCCGAGACCTAGGTTCGATTCCTAGTAAGACCCCTGTGTCTAAAACCATCTCCCTAACTCTTGGAGGGCTGATTTTGGGCATACTCTTTTCGTTTAGGGAAAATTTGAAATCGAGATTACTAGGCCGACGTCAAGCCAGAGCCAAAGTCGTGCGAGCCGCCAGGGGAGGTTGGCGCCATAAGCTCACCCCCACTCGCTGTATTGCTTAAGTTCTATACCTTTATTTCTTATTAAGCTTTTCTTTTTCATACTTTTTATTCCTATATGTTGGTCCACAGGCCCCTACATCAACATACTTGGTCGGCTTATGGAGGTTAGGTCGATTTGTGGGGGTCGGACTGCTACCGAAGGGGTTTCGGTGGCGATTCGGTGGCGTTCCGAAGAACTATATAGTCGGGGATTCCTCACACTCTTTTGAATAAAACACAGATTTTTAACCATACACTTATTACTCTGTCACCATACTCGCATTTTGAATATATTCACACTTGCGGCGTGGTACATGAACCGGTACTGCACCGACAGATATACCTATTGAGGATCTGCCAACTGTAGGGAGAGATTGGCCTACGAATTTTGTCAAACGCCATTCCACCGAGTGGAAAGTTCTCAAGTTGAAGTTTCTTGACGTTTAACGAAAGGTAGCACACAAGAAAGAAGATATTATATAGTGGTTTGAACTTTATAAGTTTATTATTGACGAATGGGACTTGGCTCCGGGTTAGATCTGGAATATGGATGAGACTGGATTTAGAATTGGGGTACTAGAAGGCCAACAACTAGTACTATGTCGGAAAGAAGTCAGATCCTTATACATGGACTCTCCAGAAAAGCGTACGCTGGTTACCTCTTGCGAGACTATCGCGGCCGATGGCGATTCTATACCCCCAGCCATCATCTTTCCCGCTAAATGCCATATACCTTGGATGTTTCCGGAGGACCTCCCAGCGAATTGGCAGATTGGGTACTCAGATAAAGGTTATAATACTGTGGAGCTAGGCATAGGGTGGCTCAAACATTTCGACAAGTACACTAAACGAAAGCTTGAGCCTAACAATATTAGGTGGCAAGTTGATCCATTCGATGAGAACGACGAAAAGCCAGTCCAAGAAGGAGAGCCAGAGAAAGCACGGCTTTTGATTATCGACGGCCATGAGAGTCATGTCAACGTGCAATTCTTAGAATATGCCGAAAACAACAACATTATTGTACTGGTTCTACCACCACATCTCACACACAAAATGCAACCTTTCGATGTCGGGGTTTTTCAGTCTTTAAAGCATAGCCATCAATCTGTGCTAGACCAATGGGTTCGAGACGTTGGAGACGTGTTTGATAAACAACAGTTTATTGCCAAACTACCGGAGATTCGGGAGAAAGGTATTGTGAGAGAAACTGTTATATCGGCATGGCGGAAAGCAGGATTGGTGCCATTCAACCCCGAAAAGGTGTTGAGGGATATTACAGAAGTAGAACCAGAGATTTCCAGTGAGTATTAATGTTTGTTCGTACTTAATTTGTATTAACTAATTCATCGGGACCCATTGGACTCCCTGTTGATCGGCCAAAGACCCCGCCCATGCACCATTTAGACTGGGAAGGATTTACCAAATCTCCAGATAAAGCGACTCCACCATATCAATTGATTATTGAGTCTTCTCCTTTACACGTGCCCCCCGACAACCTTCGGCGATATGCAAAAGCTACGACATACTTTAATGATTTCTTCAAAGATCATCCCGAGTTTGCTGAGCAAGGAACTAAGTTTCTACGACTTACACATGCAATGCAAAAGGACTTAATCTCCGGCTCGGAAGCCATTGATTCTATTACCAAAAAGGCTAGGAAACAACGTGAAGCTGCGGCGATTGCTCGAGAGGGCTCACATCAAAAGAATTGGATGCTGAAATCTAAAGGCGGGTGGCTCAAAGCTGGGGCTGGTCAGAGCCATTTCCAAGGCAAAGATATCGCGGAGTTACAACTGCAACATGTCAAACACCTAAGAGCTGAGAAAGAGAGCCAACATATGGTGATGGAGATGGAAAAGGAGCTGGAAAGAGAGCAACAAGAGATGGCCGCATGGTACGGATTAGAGGCTTTCCCAGACGCGGATTTTATGCCACATAGTGATTTAAAGTGGTTGAACGAGCCCGGAATCTCGGAAGAAGTCTTTAATAAGAGGTTTGAGGAATTGCAAGTATTGTATGATGGTAGGATGGGTGACAAGATTAGAGCTAGAGAGCGGGATGAGAGGATCTTGCGGGAAAAGCAGCGAATTTGGAATGCCCAAGGTAGAGATATTGAGGGAAATTTGCAGTGGCAAGAACCCTTGAATCTTCCAACACTAACTGATACTCAAGACGACGAATTAGAGCTCCCTGGAGCTACTGATTCCGAGATTGAGCGATGGGAGAGTACTCAACAAAGAGTAGCAGAGATTGATTATGTAGAGCCTCCATTACGGTCTACTTCACCTGCGTTTGAACCACCTAGCGATAACTTAGCAAGCCCCAATTTGAATTCATCAATTCAAATAATCCCTTTAAATTTGGGTTTTGGGCATCCTAATTAATCGTGGACATTGATTTGCATTGGGGCGTAGGTTAACCCCACTAAAATGAGGGGATTTTAGGTGTGCTTAGTCAGCTGTCCTATGTTACTACAGTACTATCCCCCCCCGGACATAATGTTAAATCGAACAAAAACTGGAGTTCGTGTGGATAGTTTCTAGGGGTGTTTATCCAATAATTCATCGGATTTTCAGCCTCGAGCAGGGCTCCGGTGTCTCTCGAACCTTCTACAGCCACCCTTGCCTTTACAACAGACCTATCTCTGGCTCGTGCTTCAGGCTCTGTCCAGGGTATCCGACCATTCAGGACTTGAGAATTAGGTCTGTGGCCCGCAAAAGTTCACATTTAACATTATGTCCGGGGGGGGGGGATAGTACGTGTCCTAAGTTAATCAGGGCGACCCCCAGAGGGGGTGGCCAGTGCTTCACTTTAAACGAGGCCACCTCCGGAGGGTTGGGAACGAAGCGACGATTATATCAGGAAGATTTAACTAGCACTATCCCTTCGTCCGGTGAGACATTGCCCACGCTAACAGGGGGGGTGTGGGTCGACCATGGGAAGGTGACGCAGGGGCCCCTATGCATTATTTTATGTACCTTTGCATACAAATTCCTTAGCAATCTACATAAGGCTAATGATATTGTACCCAACACTCCCCCTCCATACATAAAGAAACATTACAAAAGTTGCATCCGCCATATGATCTCTTTGTAGAAGTAAGGACTGGTTTCCCTAGTACTTTCCGCTTCTTTCCTACGTATACACACCAAACACAGCAGTGGCGTTTAGGAAATCTGGTCCAAAAGTGGATGTGGGGTAAGTCCGAATTAAAGAGCCTTTTCCCTCCTAACTCAATATACAATTAAGTAAGTTGCGCCTTTGTTGAATAGGCTAAAAGCCTTTGGTACAACTTGATTCTAAATTGTAAGTGATTCAATGGTCGTTGATCATTGGTATGTAATTGTTGGTACGCAAGGAATTGCTTGTGCCGAGGTTCTTCGGAAGTAGGCCTGAGGCAGTACGGACCTGTTTCGGACCCCCTTCGGAGGGGTATTCATGTATATATAGGCCACCCCCAGCACTTCTTAGAAGAGCCAGACTTTACAACCATACCATACTTTTGACTGACTGTCTCACTGCACTTACGTATTTGATATATCAACAAGCGTTCGGTGCTTTCTTACCGGTACTGCACCGACACTGATCAGTGGTCTACTTTGTACCACAGACAGCAAGGTCTCAGACTGAAGAGTTACTCTCTGAACAAAATCGCAGGACAGCTTAATTGCTATCTCTTGTGAGGCTCCTCTTAGCCGTGCTCGTACACGTACGGCAGACTTGAGCAACTTTGGGAAACTATCACTTTACTTCCCAGGAGATTGTACGGAAATCTCTAGCGTCCATCACGCAACGACAAAACCCCGGAACCACTCCGAATCGACCTCGATACCATGTCGACTTCAGGAGACCAGCCGGAATCAACTCCCGAACCAGGAAGAGATGACACTCAACTGCCAGTTCGGGACGAATTAAGTAACGAGCCTGACGAACCAAGCCAGGGACCTCCAACAGGGACGGTAGCCGAGCTGGAAGCGTTTGTTGAACGATTCTTGAACGTCTATTGTAATACAAGATATCGTACAAGATTGCAGGAAACACTTACTACATTAATTACGATGATTTTCAGAGGTGGAAGAGTTGTCTAGCAGATCCTCCACGTATAGATAACGCGACATTTTATACGGAACGTAACCTCAAGCGCGTGGGGGGCGAAACCAACAGGGTCAAACGAATCGAGTGAGTCCACGACTGGACTGTGAGGCGGCATCTGAAAAGCGCAGAAATACAAGTCACTAGACGTAAATCCAAATATTAAAATACACTGACACGCTGAGTTAGTTACCATAGTAATTTTGGTGCGAGCGCGGACATGTTTGCTTGCCGCGGACACTTTGCTTTCCCCCACTATCGAGCGGGCGAAGATAGGGGTGGTGAGACGTGCTTGAAACAAGTGTTAGGCAGCCTCAGGCTGCCAGGCACACTTCAACAAAATCAACACTCCGCGGAATCCAGCCTGTGCATTTTAAGCTGTCATTGATTGTTCGTACGGTCGCGGCGCTAGCGCTGGCGCTGACGCTTTGAGCCAGGTTGAATCGGTTGCTGTTTCCTGGTCGACCGTTGACGTTTCGTTGTCTTATCAACGACAGCCTCTGGCGTATCCGCTGCCCCGTTTTGCGCTCTAGCAGCATTGAGATCGACTTGCGCAACATTATCGTTGACAGTATCTGCAGGCGTAACCTTAGCTCCTGAGAGGGCTACTTCGATAGATGTGTCCCCAACTGCTTGGTAGCCTCTAGCCGTTACTGCTGCTGGGCTGTCTGCCTTTGCCAAGTTGGCGCCCTTTGTCACGCTGACATTTGGATTATCGACATTCTGGTTGGAGAAATCATTCATCGTAGGGAG